GTTAAACTTAGGTTTGTGTTAGTTAAGGTAAGTTGTGCATGTCTAAGTATTTGTCCATTGCCTCTGGGTTTTCATATTTGTTTGAGTATAGTTTTTCCATAATATTCTAATGTTAGCTTTTTAATTTTAGTTGGTTCCGTTGTTGTGTTGCCTGATTCATCTCTTATTTGGATTAATCATGTCTTCTCCTTCTTTTCTTTTCTGAGAATTTTTGTCGATTTTATTGACTTTTTCAAAGAACCAACTTCCGTCAAGTACCTCTTTAAAGCAGGGCTCAAAGTCTAATGACTAAAGTTTACCTACCAAACTCACAGTGTTTTCAGTTACCTCCTACACACGTGAAAGGTGAACAAGGAATAAGGAAATTCAAGGAAGGAAGCCTTTGAAGTGCAGTGTTGGTGAAGAGGACAAAAGGGAATCCTAGGGGAATCCAGAGAGAGATTTGCCAACTCTAAGGCAAGTACCACTCTGTGGTTCAGATTGTACAGTGCATCAAGACTCCTTAGTCTTTATCCCGACGCCCTTCCTTTTTGGAGAAGTCCTTGATAGCAGATTTTTTCCAATGCAACACATCTTTTGATTTCTTAACCGCTGCTAATCTGAGTGTTCATTGTGGCTTCAAGTAAAATGAAATCACTGGCAACTTCAACCGTTTCTCCTTCCATCATGATGTTGTTTCCTGGCCCAGTGGTGAGGACTTTTGTTTCCTTCATGGTGTCCTGTAACCCATATTGAAGGCTGTGTAGTCTTTGAGCTTCTGCAGTCAGGGCTTTAAGGCTTCTCCACTTTGTGGAAACAAAATTGCATAATCTGCATGATGGAGATTGTTGAGTCTTCCTCCAACTCTGATGACACATTCTTCATATTAGCACAGCTTTTTTTCAGCGTATACATTGAATGGGTATGGAGAAAGGATACCATGAGATTCTACTAAGCTTTGCAAAGTCCGGATGTGTATAACAAGGTGGGGAAACCTTATAAACATGATACTAAGACAACAAATCACACACACACACACAAATGATAGACATTACATCGTCTCACTTATATGAAATTAGCAAGTATATAGAAGCCAAAAGTTACCAAAGGTGGGAAGAAGAAGAAGGGAGAGTTTTTGCTTGGGGAATACTGTGAGTTTATACTATTTATGATAGAATGGTTTAAAAAAAGATAGAGTAGGTGGGGAACTTGAAGCATTTAACTGATGTTACTGAACTGTATATGTAGGAATTGTTGACTTGGGTTATGCTTTGATATGTATATTTTCACTTCCTATAAACACACAAAAGAGACATAAGACAGCATGAGTGCTGAAAATTCTTACAAGTACCACAAAGACGGAATATTTAGTTTGTTTCATTTCCTTTTTTTAACCAGTATATGTCCTAATATTTAATGCAGATAAAAATGAATTTCTATACATTCAATTTTTCTGTGGGTTATTAAAAATTTTTTTACAGCATATTTTTCCCATTTAATGTTTTCCTCACTTATTCATTGTTGCACATTTTTCTCCCTGCCCACCCCTTCCCCTCAGATAACTATTTTTAAGAGAAAAAAAAATTTTTTTTCATTGTTAAACAATCCCCTGACCCCAAAAGTCCACAGTCCACTTTACTATGAATTTCTTTTTCTGGAATCTTGTCATGAAACTAATACCTAATCATATATTCCTTTTAAACAGTTCTCTCCCTCATCTGTTTCAATGCAGTGTACATTATTTATCCCCTCTTTTCTTAGGTTCCCCCCAACCCTGATGTCAGTCCCTTTTTACAACAGTGGCATTATGCAGTATTTGTCCTTTTGTGACTGAGATATTTCACTCAGCATAACGTTCTCCAGGGTGACTAATCTTTTTGTATTATGCAAAATAATATATTATA